AGGCGGTCCAGACGTGCCGATGGCTCGGAGAGCGGTCCAGATAGACTGATGGCCTGTGAGGCAGTCCAGTCAGGCTGATGGCTCATTATGCATTCTGTTGTTTATATGATATGGTTATATTCGTATGGCGTTGGTATTTTGGGGGAACTCACTAAGCTTCGGGATTACAGTTGTTGATTATGTTTCAGGTACTTCTGATGATCGCGGGAAGGCGAAGGCGTGATCGTGCACCCCCCTTATATTTTCATGATTTGATTATGAGGATACTCTTATATTTAAACTATTTTGAAAACAAATTTGTAATGATTATTGGCTTTAAATGTTTTAAAAATTTTTAAATTGGCATGATTTTTGAGGGTGTTACAGTTTTCAATCGTTGATCCCTGATTTCACACCTATCACTGTTTCATGTCTTGATTCCACTCAACTTACGCCTATGATATCCTTGGACCTGAATCAATCTCAAGAAATCCACTGGGGCATAGGAGTTACTAGAGTTTACTTTCCGAAATCTAGTCCTCTATACAGCTGTGTCATTGAGGAAATCATCCTAGGACATGACTCTCGTAACTCCATCGAAACCACTAGTTCAATCTAGGAAACCATCAATAGTGATTACAATGAAGAAATCATATATGAATGTAAAGAATATTTTTTTTCGGATTCCTCTGTTCCGAAGTCAAAAGTAGTCTCAAAATCTACTCTTCTTCTGATAAAACCCTTTTTAACAATCCTTCGGTCGGACAATCCTCCAAAACCACCACTATAAAAAAAAAGGAAACCATGGCTAAACAAGAAGGATAGTGTTCACCCAAAAGTAGAAGCCATAAAATCCTTAGAGTCTGAAACTAGGTCTAGACTTGACTCTAGCTTCATTAAGAAAGCAAAGAAGAGTGTGTCGCCAACTGTAGTTCATCAGACCACTAGGAATCATAATACTTTTTCTCCTACTGAGTTCTTAAAAATATCATCAGTTGCTAGTATTTCTGGCACTTTTGATTCTAGTCCGGAAAAACCCCAAAAGCTTAAATTTGTTTATGCAGTACATCATCCGAAAAAGCTCATTCCCCTCAGAAATTACCATCTCCGAGATTGCCATCGGTTGCTCATTGCCCACGGAAATTACCATCCCCTAGAATGTCTTCAGTTACACATTCTCCTCGGAAATCATTATCTCTGAGATTCACTACCACATCTGAAGGAAGATCTACAAGAATGAACCCACTTCAAAATCCAAAACCTTCCCGTAGTTCGATCAAAGGATAGAATATCAAATCGACACGCGACAAAAAGCTTCCAACTGAATCTATTCCGAAATATGAATGGAAAATCAAGAAAACGACTCCATCACCTAAAATTGAATATGATTTTTGGATAAAAGAAAAGGCTCTCACCTTTTGTATTTTTCCAACAGAACATAATAAAAGGTTGTCTGAAAGTCCCACTATTATGAAGTCATCGACCAAGTCCAAATCCCAACTTATAGTCCATGTTGCTAACAAGGAGCTTAAGAACTCTAAATTTATATAAAGTTTGCAGGCTCAATGTGCAGAACAACAAGAAACAATATGGTATATTGATAGTGATTGTTCTATATACATGACTGACAAGATGACCTTCTTGCGTGAATATAAGCTTTCTTCTAAAGGTGGTTACGTTACTTTCAGAAACAACACATATTGCATCATCAGAGGTTATGGTATCCTCACCAATGGAAACTTCATCATTTCCATGTGTAGGCTATATTGTTGGGTTAAAACACAATCTAATTAGTGTTGCTCAACTCATCGATGCACATCACCTAGTTGAATTTTGCAACAAACATAACTACATCATGACAGAAGATCGGCCCAAATGTCTTATTCAATCGGATCGAAACAAGAACATGTATCCCTTAGATATCAACCTCATAGTAGAAAATGGTCGATGAGGGTAAAAATTTTATTTAAAAAAGTTAGCAACCAAACTGTTAAAGTTAACGTTTTTGTACCAAAAATACATAAGGTGTCCAATATTGGACCACTAATACACTACCAAATATTTTTAAAATAAAACCAACCATAGAAACCATTTTTACAATTTTGTCCATTATAAATTTATTAGTATTTTATTATTATTTGACAAAATATAATATTGATATAAAAGAAGAAAAACATATTTTTGTTAACTCATATATCCTGTTAATCGTATTCCAAATTTTATACACTTTGTCCGTTCCAAAACTTAACCCTTCAACGATATGAGGAGAAACACAATTTCAACCCATTGAATATCGCAAGACCTAAACCTTTTGGTAGGAAATTAAACATATGTAGCTAGCAAATATGGTGAATCAACTCAAATATGACTTTTTTGAGTCTTAAATTAATTATGTCAATAGGGTAAATATATGTTAAAATGATATTATGTATAGAATTGAGTCAAGGCAATCAATGAAATACTCGATTCCAACTTAAAAAAAAGTACTCAAAATTGTGCCAATCATTTCATCGAGCCTAGCACTTGAAATACTTGGTTCGTTAAGCTCACAAACTTATTCATATTACATGATCGAACTGAATTATGTGGAATTTGCGAATCATATTTTTACTGCATTTAAATATAATTATATTTTTAATACCTTTTTTTATAAAATGGCGGGTTAGTATATATCTGGGATGAAACCTGAAACCTCCTTGTTAGACACTTTGTTAGCTAAATGGGCTAACAAACATGTCAAAAATCGGATATTATTTATCGAGTTCGATCCCAAATTTAAAAACTAAGACCATATCAAATTCAAATCTTAATAATCAAACATGTCAAAAATCCGATATACATAAATGGCTTCTTGTATTTTTCTTTGTGAAGATATACATATTTGTATTACAAAAAGTAGTTCACAAAACTTTCATTAAACAATAGTTTAAAGTCTGTTTACCAAAAAGTAAAAATACATGAGATGTTATTGACAAAAACCCTAATAAAATTTATATGTTTGTCTATCGGTCTTGTTCAATGACAAAAGAAACTAAAATCAAATAGTTTCTTCTATATTTTAATAAATAAACAAAGGAAAAGTGAACTCTAAATATTTAATTCCAATTTCCAATCTCGTGAACCGAGGAATACGACGTATTGTCGTGGCCAACGGACAAAGAATTTAAATTCCCGTGAAGAAAAAAGAAGCCTCTTTTTAAAGACAAAAACGTCCCTTTTAGCTAGTAAACAAAAGAAAAACGACAGTGAATGTTATTAAAAATAAAGTCGGCGGTTAACTTATAGTAGTAGGGATGAGCGGAACTGGGTATTCGTTTTTGGAATCGGAACCGCTTCTGTATCGATGGTTTCGAAATCGGAACCGTCTTAAGCTATTTCGGTTCCGGTTCGTATTTTTACGGAACCGTTACCTTCTAGAACAAGATTATGTATCTTGAATAATATCATTTAAAATTCTATAATTTTGATAAATTTGTTTTGAACCATTAAAGGTTTTAAGAAACATGCACATATTTTTCGTCATGTTATTAAAGCTATTGATATTTTTTAATCTTCATTTTTAATACGTAGAGAATAACATATTGATGTTATCGATAACTTCTTGTAAGTTTACAATAGATAGACTTTTATAAGTTTAAAAAATTCAACAAATTTAACGAATCGAATACCCGATATTGGAACCGCTACCCTCCAGTTCTGGTTCTAGTTCCAACATTTTAGGAACCATTGGTTCCGATTCTAGTCCAGATAATTAGGCTGGGTACTTGTCTATACTCATCCCTAGAAAGTACGCACAAGTAAAGTTGTAGTTTAATCTAGGGAAATGATTCACGAAGGTAATGAATTTTTTATTTTGTACATTTTTTTAATTTTTTTATATACCATATACCATCTAATTTTGTTGAACCGTTTCACATATTACCTTTGTGATTGGTTACGTAGGTTGTAGGTTAAAAAGTAATATCACTACAAGAAAAAGGGGTTTCAGAGACTGACATATTCAGTCTTTGATGGTTAATAATCAGTCTCTAATGAGAATCGGGGACTGATTTCGCTAGTCCTAAGCTAGTCCCAGAAACCTAGTCCTAGATAGTGTTTTTTTTAATATCTGGGACTGAAAATCAGTCCTTAATATGTAAAAGTATTAAAGACAGATAATCAGTCCCTGATAGTATCAAATTCAGTCTTAAATGTGTTTTCTTTAAATCCACGATTTCATATAAGATCGGTCCCTGATAATAACTTCTGGGGACTAAAAATCAGTCTTAAATACTATATCATTCAGTCTTCAATACGCTTCATTAAAATCCTTACTCAAGTCATATCAGTCCCTGATAGTATCTATTTAAGACTGAATATCAGTCTCAAATATTATCATCTTCTGTCTCTAACCTGATTTTTATTGACTAAATATCAGTCTCATATACACTTTCATTCGGTCCCTAACCCGATTTTTTAGTTACTGAATGTCAGTCTCAGATACATTTTTATTCAGCCCCTAACCCGATTTTTCAATAACTGAATGTCAGTCATGGATAGAATTTCATTTAGTCCTAACCTGCATTTTTTAGTGACTGAATATCAGTCTCAGATACAATACCATTTGCTCCCTAACCTGGTTTTCCAGTGACCTAATATTAGTCTCAAATATAATGGCATTCGGTCCCCAACCTGCTATAGTTTCAAACCAAAGTTTAGACTTATAGTGACTAATATAAACAATGCGCTTTTTAATACACCAAATGAACTAATACTAGATAAATAAACCGTAATTTAGATATCATATCAAATTTAAAACAACAAACAAAAATGTCTAAGAAACTAGTTAATAACTAAACCATACGTGAAAGAAGTTCCAAATTTTAATGAACGGTCATGAATGTTACGCTTGCTACACTTGCTATGATAGATCTGTTATGTCATCGTACGTACGGGCTTCATCTTCATCGGGTGGACATAATATGTTTTGAGAATCCAGGAACTTCGAGATAATAAACTGGAACATTTTTTCACATTTTTCCTCACTTTGTTTGACTTTTTGGTTCGTTTATTCGAACCTCCTCCTCAAGTGCAACAATCTTACTTTTCATATCTTCTTCGTCTTTTGAGGCTGATTGAGATGTTTCTGCGGTTGATAAGAGATGTATATCTTTTTTCCTCATAACAGGTCCACTTGAAGCCTCCCATCCTGATTGTAATGTTTTATGTTTGGCACAAACAGTTTTAATGACTTTTTTCTCTATGTCGTATTCCATTTCTTGAGTAATGCTTGTTCCCGCCGAAACTAATTTGGCGCATTCTTCCTCCTTGAGTTGGAGAATATTTTCCTAATACAACGTAAAAACATATTATAATAACTTATAACACCAATATCAATATATTATAACTAAAAATCAATATTAGTCAATAAATCATTCTTACGTATTGAATGCGTGACTCATCATTTATCCATTTCTTTATAGGATGAAAATGGAACTTATGATATAATTCGATTGGGCTGGGGGGCATCTCAGTCTCTTTATTTGTCTGCAATAATAAAGATTAATATAAGTAAAGGTAAAAAATAATTTTTCTTGAATATATTAATTCAAATATGAAATGATAGTTTACCATTGCAAATTTGTGAGTTGCTATCGATCGTGAGCCTCCTCTACTTGGAATAACAAGTTTTCGCCGCATATTGCTACAAAATTTGAACTATACGTGGTTAATAATACATAAATAAGAGTTAATTACATAAAAGGTATGTATGTGCAAGATTGAGAGAATTTTGTTGCAGGTGTATATTTTTGTGTAGTTGACAGCGCATGTTTTATAATACTACAAGACATAGAATAAGAATTCTAAGATAAAATTATAAGGTTTATAGAATTTAATAATTACCTTCGCTTTATCCGATTCCCAATAATCGCACAAATAGCCCCAATCTTCTTCGCTACGACAATCTGGCTTCATTTTAGATCTTGCTAATTGTGGATCTGTCATTCCTCCATTTTTCTTCCAATAATCTTTGAAAATATTTCGTGTGCGTTTCCATTGCCTCCGCATTTGTTCATCCACATACTCCATCAGAACTTTATCTTCGTGCGGTAATTCAAAATTTTCCTACATTTAATACATAAATTAAAATTGAACGTTATTAATAAAATTTTAATAATAAATTACTTCCATTTATGAAGTTTAAATTTTGACAAAAATGAATAGATTGAGGAAAATGATATATAACTTACACGTAATCTGTTAATCATTTCTTCTTTATTTTCTTTTGCTACTTTCTCCCATGTATGGAATTCCATTTGACAAAAGCTCCGCATCATAATTCCAACCTCCGTTGCAAAAGATATTGCTGAATCCCCAATGAATTTCTTTGTATAGGTATCTCTTGTCAATGTAATTCGAGCATCAGGTTGATTTTTCAAAATCTGTGAAGCTTTTTTATTAATATTAGGGCCTCGCCTCCGCCTCTGTGCAAGGTTATCGATAGCGATAGCGAGGAAATAGCGACAACCCACCTATACGCTACGTAGCGATAGCTGTCGCTATTTCATGTTTTGTGATTTCTTATAAAATTTAACACTATATTTACTTGCACCTATGCAGCAATCAAAAATAACATAGAACTAACAAGTACAAGTTCTATTAAGCTAACATTAAGTTCCAAAAGATGTTTACCACAAAAGATTGGTTAGTTTTAGACTCTAAAGTCTAAAATTAAGTTCTAATACCACAAAAGAATGGTTATTTTTAGACACTAAAGTCTAAAACTATGTTTCAGTACCACAAATAGATTTTGGTGAGGTGTGCTATTGTCGCTACTATCGCAGAAGTGAGAAATAACCCGCCAAAATCGATTTTGGTGATTTTGGCGTCGATCGTACAATCTTAGTCGATTAGAGGGGAAGACATGAAATTGACTGTACGATTGCCCGCCTAAACCTATTCCGAGCCTAATTGCTACGTTTCTTACCGATTTAAACAAAAAAAAAATTGACGGACATCGCTACACACGCTATTGTCTTGCTACAGGCATCGTAGCGACCCATCACAGCTACGCTACGCTATTCGCTATAGCGAGTGTAGCGATCGCTATTAACAACCTTGCCTCTGTGGTTGATCTACACGGCATAAATTATACATCATCTTATGCATAATTTGTAATATCATAAATAAAAGAATAAATTGTCTACTATTTACTTGGAACCACTTCCTCTGTGGCTAATGAAGCCCGTTGAGTATTTTCTCTAGAACCACTCCCTCCTGTTGTTGTAGTCACATAAGCGTGTAAATGAATAAGCATAAGTGTAGTTAAAAAACGTGGATGGTCTACTAAACATGTATTACAAATACACAAAACATTGTTTGAGTGGTCAAACTAAGGGTACACTAAAATATGAATGTTGTACAAAAAATAATATAAAAGATTTCTGGGAATTAATTCACTTAATTCACAGAGATTATCACAAGAAAGAAAGAAACACAGAAATCACAGCAGGCCAGATACATAAAAACAAGATACAGAGGCGGAAAAGGTGAAGAACAAAACAGGGGAAAAAATTCTAGGAAATTTTTCTTGTACTCCAAGCTTTGTTGAGAAAAACATGAATAAAACTTAACTAAAACAGCATAGATACATATCCTATTCATACTAAACCAAAAAAAATCCAAATCTAACACAAAAACTAAAAATAGGATGGTTTTTCCCAAAATACCCCTTGGTCAAACCTGTCCTAGATTTTGATTATTCCAACAGATGCAAAAGAAGACATAGCAATGGCTTTTATAAAATAAAAAACAAAATGATATTGTAATCTATCTTCGATAAATTGTGTTAAGCATGGGTGTATATGCATGGTTTGATGATCTTTACATGTAGTGCCCGATTTGGGAAAAGAATCTGTATTTTGGCAAACTACTGGTTCAGTTGTGTTAGAGACAGTTCCTTCACCAAAAAGCAAAATTGATGTTGATTGAGGGTTTTTTCTCGGACCACTTCCTCCTGCAGAAATTAGAAAGTAATTTCCCGAACCCGAATAACCAGAAAATAGAATTACCCAACCGAATAACACCCATACATTGTGTAAGTTGTTTACAAGGTTGTAAAAGGTACATTGTCCAAAATTTCAGATTTAAAGTTAAAAACACAAATCAGGTCAAAAACAGAAATCCGAAATCCGTTACATTTAAATTTTTCTTTAACTCGTTTTTTAGTAAACAGTAAAAACATATAAGGTTTACCTGTTGCATCAACGGATGCCATAGCACGTTTACGTCGACGAAGCATACACAATTTTGGATTGAGTTCACCTTCACTTCCTTCACCTGATGACGTGACTGAAATTTGTCGAGGTTCTTTCCTTACACGCTTAGTACCTCCGAGATTAACAATCGTCATCATCACCAGAAATATCCACATTTTATCTGCAAAGGATTTGATTTATAGACAAGTTAGTCAAGAGTACAATTATTTATATTCATCGTCTAAAAGTTTAAATATTATCAGACTAAAAACACACCAATGAAGTAGAAATATAGTACAATTATCCATAATCATAGTAAATAAGTTTAAAAAATGTAAGAAATTACAAAACACACCAACAAAGTAGAAAAAGATTACAATGATTCATATTCATCATCTGACTCATCAAATAGGGCTACATTTGTTTCATTGCTATCATCTAAACCTTCTAAATCTTCAGGTAATTCCTCACTAATTTCTTTGGGGATAGTATCATAATCAAGAAAATCATCTAAATCGTATAAAACTACCAAAAAGAACCAACTCTTGTCCAACTCTTGTCCATCTTATCTTAGTATGAAGTTGTTAAACTAAAAGGAACCAAAAAGAAGAAAAAAAAAAGAAACATATAAAACTACCATTAATGTTATATAGATAAAGTCTGTTTACATTTTGGTTGGCGGAATGCAAAAAAGGACTATTCTACCTTTTGTTTATTTGATGTAAATTTCTTCAACAGCTGGAGATATAACTTATGATTATGAGTTAATTATGTTTAGTAATGTATACTTGATTTGTGTTGTAGCTTAATTGTTTTTGTGTGTGGGTCCATGTATAATGACTATTTATTCCTTGGGGATTATTTTGACCGAGGAAAATATAGATGCTGTAGAACATAAACTAAAAGCATAATGAATTAAAAATATAAACTTAATTATGTACAACATAATACATATTTAGTATAATATAATATTATATGGTCTTAATACGTTAGAACTCAAAGGAATGATTCCCAACAAGCACTTGTAGCTTGACAGAAAAACATGATACAAAGGAGGAACTAATTCACTTAATTCAAAAAGATTAATTATCTGAGAACTAATTCACTAAATTCACAAAGATTATCACACAAAATAAACAAACATAGAAATCAGAGCAGGACATGGATAGAAAAACATGATACAGAGGAGGAACATGTGAAGAACAAAACAGGGGAAAAAATTTCTGGGAAATTTTGCTTGTACTCCAAGATTTGTATAGAAAAGCATGAATAAAACTTAATTAAAATGTCATGTATACATATCATATTCATACTAAACCAAAACAAATCCAAATCTAACACAAAAACTAAAAACATGATAGTTTTTCCCAAAATACCCTTGGGTCAAACATGTCCTAGATTTTGATTATTCCAACAGATGCCATGAAAGGAGGTAACAGTTATGGAGTAAGGATAGACAGAGACAAAGAGATATAAACTAAATTGACGGAGATAATTAATACAACAAACAAAGGATGTGGTTTTCTTTTCAGTTGTCTTCTTTAGAAATCACAGTGGAATTCATGCTTGATTTTTTATGGGTTTTTTTCTGATAAAGAAAGAAAGCCTAAAGCTCTATAATATGATTGATGAAAATAACTCTAAGTTTGGGTGTTCTGGTGTTCATCAAACAAAGTGGATATTGATGAAAGCTCTTTAGTTCTTTGTGATTCTAGTCTCGCTAAATCAAATAACACTGACCGAACAAAGAAGCCACGACAAACATGAAATCAAATAACAATAGCTAATGAAGCAAGATAGAAGACGATTACTTACCTCAGATCGACGAATGGTTCACGAATAAATGTATCTTGTAGCCTTGGATTTCGATGCTTGTAGAGTTCCTTTGGTAGCAGTTCCTCTCGTAAGGTATTGATAGGGTTTAGTGTTGGCTAAACCGTTCGTCTAAAGATTTCAGAATCATTGATTTTGGGAAGTGATTGTAGTCTCGTTAATTTCGCAATTTCATTTGATTCAGTTATGTGATCCATAATTCCATATGCACGCTTCTCTTTTCTTCTCTTTTCTTTTTTTTTCTTTTTTTTCAATTTTATATGATTTTAATAAATACATGGATTTTGAAATTTGTTTATATAATTTTTCTAAATTAGTTAGTTTTATGAATCGATTAAATTTTGAAAGTTAAACTTATTGAATCAATAAATTTGATAAAATTTAAAAGTTATTGAATCAAACTTAGCATTCCAAAATTCTTCAATTGGTTGAGGTAATATTATATTTCCGACTTATAAAATGGTTTTGGGTAATATCATGTTTCCGATTTATAAAACAAAAATTGTACCATACAATTGAATATTTTTCTTATTATTTATAGATTACTTTCAATTTTATTCTTTAAATTGAAAAATGCACCATTTCACCCCACCCAATTATTATTGTCATTTGACCGAACCCGACCATATAAATAACCACTAGTAACCCTATATAAAAAAAACTATAAATCAGCCATTGCCAATCCCCCCACCACTACCACCTAGCCCCGCCCTTACATACAAACCCACACGAACACCATACCCTATCCTACCATATCCAAAACCCCTAAATACACCCACCCCTAACCACACCTACCCCTACCTGCATGTACACTCACACGTACCCAACCCCACATGTCCCTAGACCACCCTACCCTGACCCAAATACATATATCTTCTCGCCTTTACCCCATATACCCCATGTGTATCCCGAACCCCACCCCCACCAAACTAATGAAAGTATGTTTCTATTCACCCTCCTCTCTGCATTGTATGGGTTCCAACTCAAAAACTATTCACCAAATGAATAGTATCATACCATCCCTTGCTTTGGGTAGTAAAATTTGTGACTGATTCATCAGTCTTTAATATATCATATATGTGATTAAGTAACATGTCTTAAAGACTAAATTTCAGTCCGTAAGGATTTTCCCTCCATAGTCAAAAATAGGTATTTTATCCTAGACGAAACTTCAGTCCCTAATAAGTTTCCTTCCAAATACTATTTCTGGCTGATTCATCAGTCTCTGATATATGGCATCTATGAATAACTACTCAGTCTTAAATACTAAAATACAGTTAGTTATAAGTGTTCATTTGAATGTCAAATAGTACAAGTCTGTTAGGGATTGAAATTTAGTCTTTAAAAAGTTTCTCATTCAAAGGAACAATCGATACACTTGTATCAGTGACTGAAATTCAGTCCCTAATAAGTTCCTTACACAATCAAAATTGTCACAAGTCTATCAGGGACTGAAATTCAGTCCCAAATAACTTTCCGTCCAAAGTGAAAATTGGTGATAGCCTATTCGAGACTAAAATTCAGTCCCCAATGTGTTTCCCACCAAACCTAAACCAGCGCAAAAGTGTTCATTTGAATGTCAAATAGTACAAGTCCGTTAGGGATTGAAATTTAGTCTTTAGAAAGTTTATCATTCAAAGGAACAATCGATACACTTGTATCAGTGACTGAAATTCAGTCCCTAATAAGTTCCTTACACAAGCAAAACTGTCACAAGTCTATCAGGGACTGAAATTCAGTCCCAAATAACTTTCCGTCCAAAGTCAAAATTGGTGATAGCCTATTCGAGACTAAAATTCAGTCCCCAATGTGTTTCCCACCAAACCTAAACCGGCGCAAACTAATTAAGGACTGGGTTTTAGTCTCTAGTATGTTTCATCAGTCTCTAATGAATCACACATTAAAATCAGTCCTAGATAATATTAAAGACTAATTCGTCAGTCCCATATACATGGTATACAGGACTGATTAATCAGTTTCTGATATGTTAGTCACAGATGCCCCTTTTTCTTGTAGTGTATGTTCACATCGACATAACAACATTTATATATATATATATATATATATATATATATATTTGTCTGTGTGTGAATAAGGGTGATTGGTAGCAAATGTGCTGGTGGTGGCGATGGTGGTTGTGGGGTGGAGTGGTTGTTATGGTAGAGGTGGTGTGGTGGTGGGGAAGGTGATGCAATCATATGTGATTACATATAAAAGTAATAATATGAATAATGACGTTTGGTGGTGGTGATGGTAGTGGTAGTGGTGACGGTAACGGTTGTGGTGGTGGAGGTTCAACAAGTTGAAATTGTTGATACTTAGTCCATTACTTTTTAAACGTTATATATCAACTAACTTGTTGAAACTCTTCATATATTACCCTTTAACATATAGTACTCGGTCGCAAAGGTAATATTTGAACATGTTCAGCAAGTTGGATAGTATATGATGTAAAAAAGGGAAGGGACAAAACATAAACAAATTCAAAAGTTCGTTACCCTCCTGTGTTATTTTCCCTTTCATCTAAACCACAGCTGAAATAAAGTTAAGGCTCTAGTTTTTAGTCGCGCTGTAATTTGATGTTAGTTCAAAGGGAAATTGAGTAATCTAACAAATATAAATGATTTTTTTGTTTTTACAAAATTAACTTTTTATTTTTGTGAAATAATCACTTTGTCCGGAATAATGTGTTCCAGAATGAAGTCAAAAAAATCCCAAAGGAACATTCGAGACTAGAATTACGAAGTGATTTTTTTGTTTTTTTAAATTAATTTAAAGGTTGGTCATTTGTAGTGTGTTAATTTTTGTGTTTAATAATGGTTTATTGGTCGTTAACTTATATATGTTTTTTAAAAAATAAAAATAAACTATATTTATTGCAAAAACTAATGGAATACTGCTTGAAACCTTTAATGTCTTGAAAAAAGTAATAATTACGTAAACTTAAATATATTTTAAATAATAATACAAAGTGAAAATGGACCTCTACTTTTTCTTTATGCCCCATACACTTCTCGTGAATCGTCTTCGATATGGCATGGACCAAGTGGCAGTTAAACCCTCTATCCTCTCTGATTTTCCAGTTAGCAACATCTCTAGGAACCAACATAAGAACACTTCACAATCTCATTTATCACTAGACTATTGTGGTATGTTTTCACCCTTCACAAGAGTGATTTTGAAATTGTCGAGGAGATGACATCAGTGATTTTGGTACCCCCAATAGTTGATACCACTACGATATTGTTGATACAGGCTCACATAGATATAAGACAAGATACATCTTCAAAAAAATAGCCTCCCACCTGGTGAGTCTCGTATATAGTGAATGTGAATGTCTGGA